GTGCAGAATGGTGGTGGAGTGTGCTTTTGGCCGTCTCAAGGGGAGATGGAGAAGCTTACTCACTCGCTGTGATCTCAGCGAAACCAATATCCCCATCGTTATTGCAGCTTGCTGTGTGCTCCACAATCTGTGTGAGAGCAAGGGGGAGACCTTTATGGCGGGGTGGGAGGTTGAGGCAAATAGCCTGGCTGCTGATTACGCCCAGCCAGACAGCCGGGCGATTAGAAGAGCCCAGCGGGACGCGCTGTGCATCCGGGAGGCTTTGAAAGCCAGTTTCAAGGCTGAGCAGGGTACCCAGTGACTTTTAAGTTTGTGGACACAGAAGCAGAACTTGCCCCCGTTTCTTTACCCAGTTGCCGTCGACTATCCTCTCCAATTACATACCCCCTTCACCCCCTTCCCAAAAAATAAAATCTGTTCTGTTTTGTTAATGGACACCGTTGTCTTTATTACTGTTTTCGCGGGAATGTTTTAAACCTGGGACGCAGACTGTGGCGGGGGGCGGGTTTAGTGTTGTGATGCAAATGATGCTTCTAAACTCCAGGAATGACAGGCTCCGCGGTGGTGGACTGGTTGTTTCAACGGAGCCTGCCAGCCCTCCTGGCCGGGACTGCGTGTATGTGTCGGCTATGTGACTGTCTTGCAGGGGGAGGAGGGTTACAGATCCCCTGCTGCGCGGCTCTGTGATGCAGGGTAAGGACCGCTGCATAAGATCTGTAACTGCCCTCCCCCGCCACCAAGTCACAGAGCAACACCACCCCCCCATCACACAAAACATGAAAACCACCTCCCAGACTGACCAGGATAACTAGTCACTGCACTGTATATGTGCCCTGCTGCTGCACCTGCCCCCTGCTAAAGGTGACTGTCCTGTCCAATGACCAAGCCCCTTCCCCCCCCTTCAGACAGACTCCCCTCCAAAAGAAGAGGATGGAAACAGTAATGAACAGAAACGTATTCTTTATTAACAACCGCACATGGAACGGGGGCGTGAAACTTGGACGGGGTCTTGTGTGAGGCGGGTAGGAAAGGACTTTTCAAATTTTGGGGAATGAGAGCCTTCTAGTGGTAGAGCCGTCCGCAGGGGTGGAGTGAAATTTTTCACGGCCCCTTCCACCCCTCCGTGTTTGGACTTTGGGTGAGGGGGGTATGGGACTTGGTGGCGGGGCAGGGCAGTTACAGAGAGACTGCAGCGGGGCTCTCTCCTCCTGCCTCCGGTCCTGCAGAACATCCACAAGGCGGCGGAGCGTGTCCGTTTGCTCCCTCATTAGTCCAAGCAGCGTTTGAGTAGCCTGCCTGTCCTCCTGTCGCCACCTCTCCTCCCGTTCAATGTTTGCCCGGTGCATTTGGGACAAGTTCTCCCTCCACTGTGTCTGCTGGGCTGCCTGTGCTCGGGAGCATCCCATTAGTTCAGCAAACATGTCTTCCCGTGTCCTCTTCTTCCTCCTCCTACTGTGCGCTAGCCTCTGGGCAGATGTGGCTGTGGGAATTGGAAAAAGGGAGTGAATTCCTGAGACAGAGCAATGTATCTGTGAACAGAGAACATAGTCTTTCTCTGTGAACAAGACCATGCAGAGCACCTATCACACGCGCACTGAGGACAAGGTCGAATTTTCGGCCCTCGCCTACCGTGCCTGTGGTCTTGCTGTGGCGAGCTGAGGAGCAGGGCTGGACACCGGACTTTGTCTAGCTGGCAAACATGGTAAGCCGTAGACTTGTGGCCGCTTAAAACTTTAAGAGTGGCACTGGCCTCCTTTCACATAGAAAGCAATGCGAGTCTCTGCTGGCAGCAATCCTGCAAGCATGAACTCTGGCCCTGTCCCACCCCCTCGCGGCTGTAAACCGCGTGGCTGTAAACCGGCGGTTGCAGTTCTGTAAAGGGACGGGCAAGCAGTCCCAATACTAACTTTCCCCTACCTAATTCACAGCAGGGAGTCATGCCAGACATCACCCTCCTGAAGGTCTCGGAGAGCCAGAAGGAGAAGATGCTCCGGGACAGCCTGCAGAAACCGGGGCCATTTGCTGCAATGCTCTGCAAGGCCATGATCCCGGAGTACCTGCTGGCGTTGTGGCAGGGAAACGTGTCCTACCACGGGGGGCCTAATAAGCTCTCCCTGCCCAGGAACCTGCTCATGAGGCTGGAAAAACACCTGCAGGAGGCGTATGAGGAGTTCTCCCCGGAGGATCTCGCCTCTATCCCCGGTTACATTGACCAGTTCTTGGCTTAGGTGCCCTTGGAGGGACAAATGACTGCAGGGTTTTGGGCACTATAATCATGAAGCGGACATTGTGAAATTTTTTGAAAATGGTTCGGACTACATATTGAGGCGCCCAAAGACAGACTAATCATGATACACTTTGCACAGATTCCCCTTTTGTTTGACTTTCCTGTTTACATGTTTTGAAGCACTTTACCCACTGTTAATATTTTAAATCTTCCTGTTTTGTTGTAAATAAATGTTTACATGTTTTAAAGCACATTAGCTACTGTTAATATTTTAAATATGCCAGTTATGTTGTAAATAAATGTTTAGATATTTAAAACACTTACTGCTTGATCCTTCCCCTGAATCTGTGTCTGGGGTAACGGCGGGGGACGGTTGGTAGGGGATCTCTGTCAGGGTGATGAAGAGCTCCTGGCTGTCGGGGAAATCAGCGGTGCCAGCGCTGTCGACTGCCTCGTCCTCCTCATCTCCTTCTTCATCTTCCCCGTCCGCTAACATGTCGGAGGAACCGGCCGCGGACAATATCCCATCCTCAGAGTCCACGGTCAGGGGTGGGGTAGTGGTGGCGGCCGCACCTAGGATGGAATGCAGTGCCTCGTAGAAACGGGATGTGTGGGGCTGGGATCCAGAGCGTCCGTTTGCCTCTTTGGTCTTCTGGTAGCCTTGTCTCAGCTCCTTGATTTTCACGCGGCACTGCGTTGCATCCCGGCTGTAGCCTCTCTCTGCCATGGCTTTAGAGATCTTCTCATAGGTCTTTGCATTCCGTCTTTTGGAGCGCAGCTCGGAAAGCACGGACTCATCTCCCCACACAGCGATGAGATCCAAGACTTCCCGATCCGTCCATGCTGGGGCCCTCTTTCTATTGGATTGCACGGCCATCTCTGCTGGAGAGCTCTGCATCGTTGCCACTGCTGCCACTGCTGCTGAGCTCGCCACGGTGTCCAAACAGAAACTGCGCTTCAAACTGCCCAGACAGGAAAAGGAATTCAAATTTTCCCGGGGTGTGGCTGGTCAGAGCATCCGAGCTCGGACTGCTGTCCAGAGCGTCAACAGAGTGGTGCACTGTGGGATAGCTCCCGGAGCTATTAGCGTCGATTTCCATCCACACCTAGCCTAATTCGATATGGCCATTTCGAATTTAGCACTACTCCTCTCGTTGGGGAGGATTACAGAAATCGATTTAAAGAGAGCTCTATGTCGAACTAAATGGCTTCCTGGTGTGGACGGGTGCAGGGTTAATTCGATATAACGGCGCTAAATTCGACATAAAAGCCTAGTGTAGACCAGGCCTAAGGCTGGAATACCTAGGGGTTTGCAAATAACTGATTTTGGGTCACATCTTGCTTGCTTCACTAATGCAAGCAGTGCCATTGAACCCCAAAAGTCAGTTGGACTCAAATTCATGGAACTATTCACAGGAGTTAAGATGGGTAAGATTTGGTTATGCGTGGAGCAGTTTGCATTGAACCTGCCCACATTCATACAAATGGAGCCTGATCCTAAGCCCACTAAAGTCAACTGGAAAACTCCCATTGACTGCAATCGTGCAGGATGAAGGCCTTAATCAGTCACTTCATGAGTACAATTTACATGAAACACCTATAACCTGATTAAAAAACAATGTTGTTTAGCAAGTGAACAAAATCTAGAACAATGAACATATCTCCTCAGACTTACTTTTTTTAACATTCACTTCCTAATGAAACTGTAAGGAAACTAATACTGAGATCTGGTAAACACACTTTTGCACTGTACTTGGGTACAAGCTACTGAAATGAATAACTTTGTGCTATGTGAATGAAGTGAGATCTCCAAACACCCAAGGATTCGTATAAGATCTGTAACTCCGACTGCTCAAACTGTCACTTCTGGAATATGTGTGTGATATTTGACATGCACATTCTGAAAAGTCACTTTCCACAACCTTCCTCAGGTACCAAACTCCCTTTAAAAAAATCTATTTAGGCGGGAAATTGGAACAAACCTTAATATAATGAAATTAAATAAAAAAGGCAACATGTAACTATGTCACTAAATATGGTACTAAATGGCATTAACAATATTTCAACTAGTCAAGCAGGCTACTGCCAGCAAAACATATTCCACACTTATTTCTTGAATGGAAAGGCAGAGAGAGGAAATCACTGGCAGACTCCTTGGACCATAAACAAATGTAAAACATATCAGCTGTTTAATAATATTTAGCATCAAGAGTTCAATATAGGATATTTTTTAAAAAATACTGCATCCAATTGACATTGCAAGAAGAATTTATAGAATCAGAATGTGATTACCTGAGTTAAAAATCTAGCCAGGACTCTAGCATTAACATCTCCATTCTTAAAAGATCTCATGACACTTTTTATAAAAGACCACAAGCAATCAGGACTTTGATTTTACATTGTATCAAAAAAACTGTAGCATAGTGCCCCTATTACTACACAAAGGCCTGGTTCAGTTCCAACTCAAATTCAATCAAATGCAACCTTGACTACATTCAATCTGAATCATCAACACCATCTCTCCTGCAGCACATGGGACATGAGAACTCCTAAAGAATGCCTAAATATTGACCTGACCCAGCCTTGGGATTTAATGGGATCAGAGCAGAAGGTAAAAAAGTCTGCAGCCATATACAAGGTTGAAAGATTAATACAAAGTTGTAATTAGTACTTAACATGTGTGAAACATCTTGACTTAAGAAAAATCAACCACCATATTAAAAACAATCTACGGTAAGTGTTTTGTTGACAAAACTAAATAAAATGTAAAGAGTCAACTTACAGAATCCAGAAAGCAGAGGTAGGTCCCAGAGCTCTGTATTACTGCTTGGTTTTTAGCAAAGCCAACTGAAGAGAAAGTAAAGAGATAATGTTACACATATCTTTAGAATTATTTTTATCACAACATATTTTTTAAGTTATACTGTAGTCAAGATTAAATGAGAGACACAAGTGGAGATCTACGTTATTATGAAAAATGTTTTGTTTTACATGCCTTAAACAGGAATCTTTGAAGTATTGTGGCTACCTGGTCCAGTCCTGCTCTCTCAACAGACACCAGTCTGTTGTGATGTGATCCAAATACTGCATCTCACATGCTGCTAAGATCTCTGGGTCTGGGCAGTGACTGATCACTGTTCCTGATTCTGGGTCCTTCAGGTGTACTCCCCAGGCCTGACATCCTTCTTGAGCAGTGGAATCCTGCAGTCTGGTCACCTAGACACTGGAAGCCTGGGCTCAGCTCTCAGCCCACCCAAGCCCCCAGTTGCTTGAATGCATTCCCCTGAGACTACCTGGCTGTGAGTGCTCAGGTTTCTAGTTAATCCCTCTATGGACCATTTGGCATAAAGCAAGGAGACAAAGCAAAGCAAAGGAATTTCTTAAACACACACAACTTTACTCTTTAAAAGCACAAAACATCTATGAAAAATAATCTCCTGAATGCAATCCCCCTCATTTTGACCTCTCCACCTTTAATGAGCCCACAGTTTGGTCCAAGTCCTTCATGCCTGCACTCCTCCTTCTGGGCCTTCTGTTTCTGGTGATGGAATGGCTTCCTTTGCTTAGAGAAGAATCCCATTTTAAAATAGATTTCGTCCCTCTTTAGTCTGATGAAGAAAACTGCAGCTCTACTAGTGTTAACAATACGGCTCCATAATTACAAGCCACAGGCACTCAAGTAGTAACAGTGGGGCAATCTTTTTTTCCCACCTGTAAATTACATATTTTATAGTGTTTATATGACCAAATGCTAGACCGTCAACCAATGCGTGTAAAAATATATTTCTCCAGGATAAGGCAACTAAAGGAAGAAAAATATTTGACACTCCACTCTTTGCCTTTATGGGTGTAAGTGATTTCCTCAGGATTTGGTGAGGATATTCTGTACAGTAATTTGCAGTTCTGAATAGCAAATGGACAGCCAGGAATTTAACTCTTTGAGGGGTTTGGATTTCCTTGGGGGTGGGGAGTTGTTATTCAAGTTGAAGACAAAGTGGACTGCAGAGAAACATTTATTTGTACATGATAAGCTTTGGATGCAAACTTGATTACATATTTTACATGGGTGCTTCCTTTTTGCCTATGTACACTCTGCTCTAGAGCAGAAGTTCTCAACCTTTCTCCTTATGAGGTACCCACACACACACACAACATGCTATAAAAATTCCATGGCCCACTAGTGCTACAACAACTGTTTTTCAGTAGATTACTAGCCAGGGCCAGTGTTAGGGGTAGCAAGCAGAGCAATTGTCCAGGGTCTCACATCACTGGGAGCCTCACGAAGCTAAGTTGCTCGGGCTTTGGCTTCAGCCCGGAGCAGTGGGGCTCGGGCTTCAGCTTTCTGCCCTGGGCCCCAGTGAGTCTAATGCTGGCCCTGCTCTCTGGTTTATTTCAGTGGATGCCCTAAAACCTGCTCGCAGTCTTTCCTCCTCCCTCCCCCCCAGGGATTCCCAGACCCCTGTTTGAGAACCACTGCTCTAGTTGTCTTTACCCTAAGACAATAAAAATTGACACACAGGAAAAGATTATTAATCCATCTAGGCCAGTAATCTGCCTCCAACAACAGCCAATGGCAAATGCTTAAAAAGAAGGCATATACAGTAGCATACCATGAGGAACATTTCTTACTGACTTCAACTGGTGATCATCTTATGCTCTGAAGAAAAAGATAACACTTATTTGTTTCCTAACTAGTGTAACTGTTGGTGCTGTTCTCTCTGGATTCTTCAGTAAAGCATTAAAAGAATACTCAGGGATTTTTTAACTTAAACTACAGTTGTATTGATTAGAAATTTAAAAATTCAATAGCCACAGTTTTCATAATCTTCCTTGTCTTAAATAGGATTGAGCATGGATAGTGTACTCTCTACCTATGGGGACTGTAATGGACTTTCACAATACTAGTTTAAAACACTGGTCAATCTACAATACTAGTTCAAACCCAGAAGCAAATTAATAATGAATACAAATAACCACCACTTTATGGCTCATATAACCACCATTTTATGCTGGCCTACATGAAATAGGTTGGTAGGCTCAGTTCAGTTCTTAGTGTACACATCACCCTTATTTAGCAGTTTCACCAGCTGATCACAACTAGGCAAATACTGAACTACTTCAAGTGTACACTGTATGCACATCTAGTCTATGGTAGAACACTCTGGTATTATTGTTACATTGTCCTCCCTCCCGCATTCCCACCTATTGTTTCATCAGCCTTTTGTCATTAACCAATACTGCAAGTTCTTTAGACCAGGGACTGACTTTTACTGTGTTTCTACAAACCTACACAAAACAGGGCCTCAATCCACATCTGGGCCCTCTAGATGCTATTCTAATATAAATCATAGACAAAAAAAACCCCAAAAGGGCAAGAATGTGCAGACCAGCCAATCTTTTTGGCCTGTGGTATGGGCCCTTTAGAGGACTCCAGCAAGGCATAAGAGAAAAAAAGCCTGCCTGTTCTGTAATAAATAGAAAAATTTCCTGTGCTGCAAAGACTATTTCAGACAGACTGCCTCTCTCTCTCTCAACAGGAAATAATATAATATTGGTTATTCTCTTTATCTAGGGCAACATGGAGTGCTGAGGGGAGCAAATCAAAAGGCATATAGTAACAATGAGCATAAATATGGAATGCTTACATGGAAACCTCTCCACAGAAACACAGACACACACAAAAGTGTAGTCAAATTATAATGCTGATATCATGGATCCATTGTGCCCACCTTAACAGTGCAGCTGTAAGAGAGGAGACCCAGGCTCTTTCTAAAAGTGTACAATGATTTTTACTAAGGCCTTGTCAACACAAAAACTTTCAGAAGTTTAGTTAATCCACTGAAAACCTGTGTGGATACTCTTATTTCTGTTTATGAGTGTCTTATTTCAGTTTAGCTTAAATCTATTTCTAATGGAATGAAATTAAAGCAAAATAAGCCTGTCTTAAACTGAATTAAAAGTGTCCACCCAATCTATTGCATCAGATTAACTAAATCTGTTTAAAAGTCACTTGTACATGAAGACAAGTCCTACTAATAAGCAAAACTATTTAAAAAAAGATGTGAAGCCAAGAAGCAGCTACACCAAACAGCTGGTGTAGTCATTCTTAACTCCCCCTCCCCCAATTCTATCATCCCCTGGAAAAGAAGAGAGAGAAGAAAAAAGGACAGCATGGCTTTTCAGTACGTTCTCTCTTAGGTGGAGGAGGGAGGATGAAGAACAGCACAGGAGTGCTTAACATGTATACCCTGAAAGATACAAGAATAGCACTGGATCTTCCATAGATCACTAGAGTCCATAGGGTTTCAAAGTTGCATGCCTGTCTCTGAGCATTTGCAAACCCTTTCCCCAAAGGGCCAAATGTGGTGACAACTCCAGGAGTTAACATCTAAGATGTTGTCTACATGAGAAAGTTGTACTGGTTTAACTTAAAGTGTGATTTTAACCGAGTCAATTAAACTGGTATGACTTTCCAGTGTAGACGAGGCTTAAGTTAACAGCCTGGTACCTGTACTTTTCCTCCTTCTACAGATTGTTCTACAGGAGGCAAGCACAAGGGCACCTAATTTAACCTGAAAAACCTTTCGAGTCCCATTTAATACTGTACCTGTCATTTAGGCCTTGTCTATGCCACAAGTGCAGCTAAGTCAGGAACCTCGTTATAAGGTGGTTGTCACCTGACCTAGTTACAAGATTATTCCACTGTATAGTCTAGAGGATATGTGTAGTATATCTTTAAATCTACAGCAGGTAGACAGTAATGGCTTTAAAGTGAAGCACAGACACAGAGTACCTTTAAGGATAATACCTCATCTTATTCTAATAAAGTTCCTTGATCAATGTTTACAGAAATTACTTTCTATGGGACCTTAAGCATGTTCCCTAACCAGGCTAGAGCTCTGAACTAGTAATACAGACAGATTGATACTGAAAGTCAATCAAGGAATAACTGTGCTTTTACAAACTTCCATGAGTCAATTATAGTACAGTACAGATAGGTCCTTCATCATTCTTCCTGAGAATTCAGAGCGAAGAGATCATTTCCTGTCTGCATTTTCCACTACCTCCTGGGAGCATGTTGGCCCACCCACCAACAGTACAGTAGCACTCAAGGTTACACCTAAATGAGTTGTTTTTAACACCTCATATATGTAATTGTAACTCATAAGACAAAACCAGTTGGTAAATTCAACAGCTCTCACAAGACTAGAGTTGAATTTCTGGCATCCGCAGCTTCAGTAAGAAACAGCTAAAGCAAATTAGCAAGTCTGGACATGCCAAACAGGAGAATCCATAGTTTTTAACAGTTCTCTCCTAAGGGAAAGGGAAAAAGAGTAGGATGGAGTTGACCTTGCACTCGTAATCCCCGCACTGGATCAATAACTATTCTACCAGGATCAGCTGTAACTAACCCTATATACATATTTCATTCATTATTAATATATTTCAATAGTCATCACTGTAAAATGATTGAAGTCGAAGGAAGCAGTGATCAAGAAAAAAAAAGGCAAGGTGACTCAACTTCAAGATGAAAGTTAAAAGATTCAAAGATAAGGAACTTTCTGAAATCTTTAAGATTCTGCTTTTAAATCAAATCTTTTAGGGAAAAATTTGAAGTATAAAATGTTATGTCAAAAAAGGTATAAAATATTTTTTCTAGATTAAAACACGTCTGGAATTTTATTAAACAGTTACTTATAACAACAGTGTCTTAAGAATAAAAAAGGTATGTTAATTTTGTGATTTACGAAGAGATTTAACTCCCTGGGGAAACTAGATATTGAAAATTGGTTTCCCACAATGAATCCTGTGTTTGGCATAAGCAAAGAATTTGCTTTAATATTACA